GGTAGTACATAGGCAGTTCCCATGCACTTCACGGGTAGGTAGTTGGACAGTAGGCACGAGTAGTCTTCAGGATTCAGCGCAGCACTCAGGAGGAGTCTTGCAGGGAGTAGCTCAGCGCTAGCAGTAGTCTTCAGCGCTAGGCGCTAGTAGCCATAGCAGTAGTCTTCAGCGCTGGGCGCTAGTAGGTGGTAGATAGTCGAGTTGGGAGAGATGGCTGGCGGAGGCCAGCGAGACTTACCTCTGGCGCCATAGCTCCAGCTCCATCTTCGAGGTACCTGCATCAAGGCGCCAACTTCACAGGTTAGTACTGGACTGAGAGAGAGAGAGAGAGAGAGAGTTCTTCTTCCTCTTCTTCTAAGTCCACCATCTCTTCTTCCCCTCTCACCACCTGACTTCTCAGTATCAGCGGACTACTACAGAGAGAGAGAGTTGTGACTTGGGACTTGACGACATTGGATCCAGACTTGACATTTGGGATTCAGGCATTTCGACGAGGGACTATTTGGGCCTGTGCCGAAGACTTGGTGTTGACGACATTCCCATCTTCCCTTCCTCTTCGTCTAACCCCCTGCTTCTTCGTCTGTGTATGGTAGGGGCTGGCGCAGTCTTCCTGTGTGAAGCGCCAGACCCCATTCACACCATGTAACAATGATGATGATGTATGTTCAGGGCTGCATTGCAATATTGATTGTTCGGATCACTGGTATCTAAGTCTTCCGCTACGCCATCTTGTACTTTGTATTGAGAGGTCGGTTCTTGTTCTGGTCTGCACCGTTACAGTATGCAACAGTTTGGTATCGAAGCGGACCTCTCATTCAGAGGACCCGCTCAATCAAGTAGCCAGCTTGCTTGATCTATTGATCACTCATTAGTAAATCAAGTAGGACTTCGTCAAATCTCTGGAAAAAAAAAATTATCGCAACAACTATCTGAAAATTTCTGATATTCGCATTTCGTTTTACCTGAAAATTTCTGATATTGGTATTTCATTTTTACGTAACAAATATCTGAAAATTTCTGA